ACATGCCCTATGGCAAAAAAAATCTCTAAAAAAAAGGGGGGGGGTGCCTTCAACAAGTTCATGGAAAATGTATACTATGAATAAACTATGCATATTTTTCAAAATCGTTCACACCAAAATAAACCTGTACTTTAATTCCATTTATGAACTTTTGGAAGTCCCTTTGTATTTCACCTCTTGAGTCCACACTGGTCTTGCGATTTGCCTGTAGAATATGGTAGAATCAAGCTGATGCTTCAAGAGGACCGGCTTGCTTCTATCACCCCCCCTTGGAAGCCTGCCCGGCTGTGATATGGACAAGCCTGGGCCAGCCTGCTGGAGCATAAGAGAACCTGTGAAGCAGAAAGCAGCCAAACACAGCTGAGGCACTCCCCTCGCCCTCCTGCTCCAGCTAGTCCCCAGGCAAGCTGGCAGCTCACACGTGGGTGAGGCCCAGGTGAGGTCAGCTGAGCCCAGCTTGCATCAGCAGAACTGTTCAGACCACCCACAGACTTGTGAGCAATGATAAACTGTTGTTATTTTAAAGCATTACGTTTGGGGATGACTTGTTACACAGCATTAGCTGATCTACCCCAAATGTAGCTGATGGCAGTTGAGAATTCTCTGAGAGCTTCTGCTCAGCACATTCCATGCCCAGCAGGCCCAGGTTCCCTTGGGGACCCCCAAGGCAATGGTGAGGCAGTCAATGTGGCTGGCCTGACCTCAATGACTGATGGAGGGAACTATGAGTGGATACTGAGTAGTTTCGTCTGGTGGTCAAGGTCAAGATGTGGTGCCAGACATCCTCAGCTCCCGTTGTGATCCTGGGTACCAAAGTGACCTTTCCTATGGTGGGAGCTTTCTGGGGGCAGGGGGGCTGCCTTCTCCGTCCTGCTGCACTTAGTAGGAAAGTAAGGCAGAGGAAGGCTGTACTTGCCTACCCTAGTCCCTTCCCCTTATCTTTCTGGTTATGGGGCCTCGACGTTACCTAGTAGGGATACATCCAAGACTCTCAGTGGGTGCCTAAAACCACAAAATGTACCAAACCCTGTATAGACTATCTTCCTTCCTTCCTTCCTTCCTTCCTTCCTTCCTTCCTTCCTTCCTTCCCTTTCTTTCTTCTTTCTTTCTCTCTCTCTCTCTCTCTCTTTCTTTCTTCCTCCCTTTCAGTTTGCCAGAGGGTGGTGTGTTTGCTAGAGGGAGATGGAGAGGTAAAAAACACCCCTCAATGGGACATGGCCACACCACATTCCCGTCTCCATTCTCCATCCTGTTGGGATTTTGGACAAAGAAACATATGCGTTAGGGCCAGGATCCCAACTACATAGCTGCTATGTGAGATCTCAGTCACCAGCCTATGCAGCCAGCTGCTTTTTCCATCTGACAACTGAGATAGCTACTTAGTGACTCACAGTGTGGATTCACTAGGAAAAAGGAACAGTTTGAGCCCTGAGTGGGACAGAGAAAATGGTGCAAGATTTCACCACGCTACTCAGAATGTGCATGAATGAAAGCCCCATTGCCTAGTTGTTAAGGGAGCCAGAACCCACAGAGCTAACTATGGTTCAAATCCCAGCCCCAGCAGCTTGAAAGCCACGCTGGGCGTGCATGCATGTCCCAGATCCTGGCAGGGTGGAGGGATGGAAAGAAAGGACTGCAGCGCGACCATACCCCGTTGGGGGGTGTTTCTCCTTCTCTTCCCCTCTGGTGCATGCATGTGCCTTCTGACAATTCAAAAAATACATGGTTTATTTCTGAAAGCTTCCATTTAATATTTTCAGAACGTGCTTGACTCTGGGTAACTAAAACCACGGGAACCGCGGTCGACTACGTGGGAATCCAGCGACATAGCCATTACGCTAACTGCTGGTTCCCTCCATTTAATATTTTGAGAACGTGCTTGACTCTGGGTAACTGAAACCACGGAATGTGAAACCGCAGCGAGGGAGGGACCACTGCATCAGCTGTAGCATGTTCACCTTTCCTGATGACAAGGGGGTTAGTCTCAGCAGAAACCACTGGGTGGGATCTGGCCAGGTGAGGGGCATCCGCTTTCTCACCACTCCACTCCCCACCTGCAGTTCTGGCTCACACTGAGGGAGTCCCGAGCTCACACACACGGCCACCCCTGCTCAATCTTCCTCTCGCAGACAGCGGCCCTTTGTGTAGTGATGCCACGCACTAGCACGGTACCTTCCACAGGGGGTCTGTGTGTTCCCTGGGTCTCACCTTAGCCTGCGGGGAGGAACACAGCCCAGAAGAGCCAGAGAGGGGCCCTGTAGGGCCTGAAGCTTGGGGCGGGGGCTTCTCTCCTCAGGGCCAAGAGGCGGCACTCTTACTGGGTTTCAGGGTTCCAGGGCAGACCCGGCTCTGTATGCATGTCAGAATCCCCCCACCTCCTGGTGAGCTCATTCTCCTTTCCAAGGAGTGCCAGGTTATGACAAGTTGGCTCTCTGTCTTTATCCATTCTGTGACAAGATTTTTCTCCAAAGAAACAAAAACTCTAAGTTCAGTCTTGCTGGGGCATCCTGTTTGGAGGGTTTCTTGGCTTCAGAGGACGACATCTCAGCCTCTGGGTTCACCAGCCCTATCCATGTCCCGCATCCGCAGGGTCCCCTCCCTGTTGGAGACCTCCCTGGAGCCTGTGGCTCCCAGCTGTCAGCTTCTGTTCCAGACCCCTGCTGCTCAACCTGTCATCGGGGAAACTCAGGGAGTGTTTCTGGGGCTAACCGTGGGGGGATGGTAACGGTGCAGGTGTGGGAGTCCCTGCCCCAGCCTTCCCCGGGCCATCTGGGCTCTGGCAGAGAGAGCAATGATATATTTAGAGTGGCAGTGACTGCAGGAGCCCAGCTATTACTAATGGGGGCTAAGGACTCTGGTGTGTGTCATCCTCGGAATTAAATTCCACCCGGGGGCTTGTCGGGTCAGAAGGCTCAGGCTGCAGCGCCAGCTACAAGCCGTGATCGGAGCCGAGAGGCTCCTTCCATTGCAGATGCAAAAACAGGCTTGGTGAGGGGCTGGGACTCGATCCAGCATTCTGCCTCCCAGGTGTTCTGTAGGTAGTGGGGACTCCCAAACTACAGCCCCGCCTCGCGGTGTGGGGCTACTAAGAGGCTGTGGCTTCAGAAAGAGCTTCTGGAAACCCTCCGGGGTGCTCATCTTCCAGGTGCTAGGTACTCTGGAGAGAGACAGCAGGGCCTTTCAGCCCACGGTTACAGAGGGAACCTGAGACGGAGCGCGATCCCGGAGCTGCTCAGAGGGGCCAGGAGAGAGCCATGTGATTCAAGTTCGAGACTCAACAGCTTGAGCAACACGCCAGGCCACGTGTGCATGCATGCACAAAATCAGGAAAGAGGGGGGAGACAGAAAAGAGACTGTGGTGTGACCATGTCCCTGTGTGGGGGGGTGTGTTCTCCTCTATCTCTTCCTCTCTGTTTCTCTGTCTCTCTCAGGCGAGCCCTCTGGGGGGAACAAAGTAGCTAATTCCTAGAGATGGTGTGTAAAGCGCTGGAGGAAAGTAAGCTGCCTGTGTGCTGACTTAGGAGTGACGCTACCACCATCGCCCTGTCCTCCAAGAACTGAGGCTCCTTCTAGCTGGACGTGGGTCAGCGGGGCCCAATTCCTCCCAATGGCTCTTGAGATGAAGAGCTCAAAGGTCGCTGGGAAAAGTGGGCAAATTGGCACAGGGACTGAGAGTCACGGGAAGCGAAGGGTAGAGACCTGGAACCTTCCATTTTTGTTGTTGGCCCCAAAGCATCCTGAGTGGATTGAGACCATCACCCCAAAGACAAGGATGTCGTCATGATGGACAGGTGGTCCAAGGGATTTTGAGTATGCTAAGCCAAGGTCTAAGGGTCACAGAGGAAGGCTGGGGTTGGCACGCATGCCTGAGGGTCAATGTGCCCAAGTGAAGCCTGGCAATCTGTTTCTTTCTTTTTCTTTTTAACTTTTTTTTTTTTTTTGAGAGGTTTTTGCTATAGGGCAGATATGCTCGCCAGAAAGACAGAGAGACAGAAAGCGAGAAATCACCCATGCCACAATCCCTTCTCCTCCTTTCTCCTCTCGGGATCTTGGGCATGCACACACATGCGCCCGTTGTGAGTTTAAGCCACCTGGTCTGGGACTCAAACTGCGGTTGACTACATGGGAGTCCAGCAACATAGCCATTATGCCAACTGCCGGTCCGGGCAATCTGTTTCTTTAACATGAGGCACTTAGAAGTAGTTCTTGGAATCTGTCCCTGGCATGCCTTTTAATTTGTCTGTCTAGCCAACTTCTACACACCCTTCAAAACCCAGCTGAGTTTAAAACCCATGGGGTAACAGCATGCAGGATTAAACACACCCTTCCTGTGCTCTGGAGTTGAAGCCGGCTTCTATAGTAGCACTGTCCTGCTGTTCGGCTCACATTCCTGCAGAGCCAGTGCCAGATACCAGCCAAACACCATGCCTACTGCCTGCTCCACCTCACCTCACTCACTGGCCCTCTGCTTCCCTGGGAGGTGTCACCATTCAACAGATGCCACACGTGCTGTCCGAACTCACCACTACCTGGTTCCTGGGTCTGTGCTCTTAACCGCCCTCATTTTCCAGGGGGCCTCCCAGGAGGAAAGAGCTTGGTTTGCACCGTCCTTTGTGTACCCAGCAGCTGGCAGGGTGCCTGTCACCAAGTGATCACTTACGTCCCCGATGAAATGCCCTGATGCACCGAGGCTTCTAAGCTTATAAACCATTTCCCTTATGTTGCTGTGAATAGTCCAGGTCTCTCCTCTCTCCCTCTCTCTCCCTCTCCTGCTCTCTCGCCCTCCCTCTCTTGCTGGATTGTTTTCTTTGGGCCAGTTCCTAGAAGTGGGACGCTGGGCCGGAGGATGTGGCGCTTCATCGCGCCGCCACGTCATCTTCCCCTCCCCGGCCGGCGGCAGAGGGGCGCGCGCTCTGGACACCTCGCGGGCTGGCTTGTCACCTCGACGTGGCTACGCGCCC